TCATTTACGTTTGAAAGTCTGTAGTTAGCTTTAGGAAGAAATCTCCAGATAAATGCTGTGTTCTTTCTAATACTCCAGAGTGAAAATCAATGGGAGGGATAATTCCTTCCCTTGTCCTACACAGACTTTGATGTGTTTCTAAATCCATCAGCACCTTTTAAATAAAGAAACAGCCCTCCCCTTCCTCTTCTGCCTCTTGGGGCATAGCCCAAGCTCCTGGAGGATCACTCCACCTGGCAGCTGACTGACAGGGTAGTCAGTCAGAGGGTCTCTGTCAGCCCCTTGGCATTGATTTGGGCTTTTACTGGGATGGGGGTTGGCTGCAAGCACAGCATGTTGATGGGTTTGTAGGGCTTGGAATAGGGATGTTTCTGGGAATTACGTAGAGAGTGGCCTGGTAGCTGGAACAGAGGACCCAGGTCTTGAAGTTGCTGGTAGAGCAATACTATGGTGAAGAGGTTTATGAAAAAAATCCAACATTCTCTTTTCCCTAAATCCAGCATAGTGAAGGTACTCGCTGTTACTAAACTGCTAGGCAGGTGGAAGATGTGCCCACAGGATTAGTTCTTTTTTATCCTAAGTTTGTACAGAATGCTCTGGGCAGTGACCTCTCTTCTGCTGGGCATCTGGCAACATCTGTTTCAAGGCAGATCCATTTTCCAGAAATAACTTGGTAGGAATTAGTAGCTGTGACATTACAAGACAGCTAATTCAGAGCCCTGGAACATGCTTATGTCTAAAAGATGTACCCTCCAGAAATGAAGTCATTTATCTGTCCACCTCTCTTCTAGCTGTATTGAATTGTATTTTCCCTGATGTTGTGAAGTTAGCATATAGGATGTAACGATTCCAAGTGCTGCAGTTTTGGCAGGGTTTTGCTGAGTCTCATGATCCATCTGTAATGGATTGGAGATGCTGAGCTGCAGCAGGATATAGCAGCGTCCAGGAGCCTCAACTCAGAGAGACAAGAGCCACCGAGGGAGCCTCAAGTCCTCGACAGGACTTGCCCAGGAGCCGGAAGCTCAGCTGATGCGAGCAGGGACTCACAGGGGGCGGAGCCAGGAGGAGTGGCACCATCCCTGACTGGTTAAAAACCTACCCAAGGGAGCGCGGCGAGAACAGGGCGGGTCGAGGCAGTTCGCGCGGGGAGGCGAGCGGGATGGTGAGCATTCGCCGTATGACCAGGGCCCGGTCTGGGAGTTCTGCTCTGGCTGCCCTGGCGGTGGCCAGCGTAGTCACCCAGACAGAGCCGATGAGAGGGGAGGCTGCAGTGCAGAGCTCGGAGTGTAGAGAGTGCCTGCACTGGTCTTGTGAGGGGAGGGTGTACAACGGGCAGGGCTACACTCGGTGTTACCTGGTGGAAGTCCTCCTGCAGCAGGTGGCTGAGCTGCGGGATGCTATTAATAGGCTGCAAGATGTCAGGGAAGCTGAGAGGAAGCAGGAATGCTTGCTCCCTGCCCAAACTGTGCAGGGGCCTCAAGCGTCCCCTGTAGTTCATGGAGGAAAGAAGGAGGCCGTTAACCCAAGAAGCTGGGAGACAGCAACAAAAAAAGGAGGAAGAGGACAATTAAAAGCAAGGGGCTTCCACCTAAATCTGTTGTCCCCACCCAGAACCGCTTCACATTTCTGCAGGGGGCTAACAAGGAAACACATACTTTGCACATGAACAACTGGCTAATGCACCAGTAAAGAAGATCTCTACTGGTGCTGCCAGGAAAAAGTGGTGGGTCGTAGTAGTAGGGGAATCTACTTTGAAAGGGACAGAAGCACTTGTCTGCCGGCCAGACCCCGTTTCAAGGGAGGTGTGTTGCCTAGCAGGGACACAGATCAGGGATGTTGCAGAGAGGCTGCCTGCTCTAGTAAGTCCCACTGACTATTACCCAGTTCTAGTGATCCATGTGGGTGCTACTGATATAGATAACAGTAGCCCAGAGAACATAAAGAAGGACTTCGGAGAGTGGTTAGGGGCTCTGGAGCTCAGATAGTCTTTTTGTCAATTCCTCAGGATACAGGGGAGGACCCTAAAAAGACTAGGAGGATTGGCCAGGTTAATAAATGGTTAAAAGGGTGGTGCCATAGTCAGGGGTTTGAGTGTCTTGAACACGGGACCCAAGATTGTAGGCCAGGTCTACTGGAGGCTGGTGGAGCTGGTCTAAGGGGAAGAGAGGTTTTGGTAGGAGGCTTGCCAGACTGGTCAAGGAAGCTTTAAGCTAGATGTGTTGGGAGGGAGGCATCATTCCATCCCAACACCCCCAGTCATTTGCCAGCACCTGTAATAAATGCTCGGAGCAATGTAGAGATATTCCAGCTCCTCCAGCCAATGAGCCAGCTTCATTTGGAGCTCGGCTCAGATGCCTCTATACAAGCATCTGTAGCATGGGGAACAAACAAGAGGAAGTAGAGATGTGTGCGTGTCTACAGGGTTATGATATAATAAGCATCACAGAAACATGGTGGGATGGCTTCTATGACAGGAGTGTTTGCATGGAAGGTTACAGGCTCTTTAGAAAAGACAGGCATGACAGAAGGGGAGGGGGAGTTGCTCTTTACGTTAGGGATAGGCTGGAGAGTATGGAACTCTGTCTGGGGACAGGTGAGCAGTCAATAGAGTTTGTTGGTCAGGGTTAAAGGGAGAACAGCTATGGGGGGCTTTATTGTGGGGATCTGTTACAGATCGCCTGTTCAAGAGAACTCTGTGGATGATGAAGCACTCTATAGTGATTCGGAGGAAACTCCAGGAACAAACTCGCCAACAGTTTCAAGTTGTCAAGCAGGTATTCTTTATTGCGGTGCCAGGAGACACTGGGGATAGCTCCTCCTAACGTGTGTTCCCATATTGCTACACAGGCCATCCTTATATATGAGGCTACACATGAATTACATCATTTTCCAGAAAGTTCCCACATGCATACAAAAAATGTGATGGTGGTCTTTAAGGGTCGTTTACTTCTCCCAACAATCTTCATAACTTCGATCACTTCATAAGGTTCGATCTGCCATGTCTTCTCTGGTTCTGGTGCTTTCTTTATTCTTGAATAATGTATCCAAGAAGGTTGTTCCTTTATCTTCACTGCTGTAAAGGTGGTCAGTATTATCTGGTATGGTCCGCTCCACTTCTCCTGTAGACGATCTCCTGAAAAATTCTTAACATAAACCCAGTCTCTGGATCTAAAAGGTTGAGTCGGATAATCCACACCTCTCTCTCTTGTCCCCAGTATTCTCTTATTTCTAATTGTTTTCCCAGATTGACCAGAAACTCTTGGAGATAGCCTTATCCCACTTCCAGAAGACTTTCTCCTTTAAACTGGGACTGATATGGTCTTCCATATAAAATTTTACATGGCCTAGCCTCTTTCGACTGAGGTTTAGTTTGAATTCTTAATAGAGCCAGTGGTAAGGCTTGGTACCAATATTAATTAATTTCCTGACATGTATTTTACCAGTCTGTTGTTTGATCAGATGAACCATCTTTTCTACTTACCCACTGGCCTGAGACCTGTATGGAACATGTAGTTGCCAATCAATTTCTAAGTTTTTGCTAATGTCTTGTAACTATTTAGCGCTAAAGGGCGAGCCTCAGTTGGAAGAAATTGCCTCTGGTACTCCAAAACAAGGTATTATATCATTTAACAATGTTCCAGTGACTCGTCTTGCATTTTTTATTCTACAGGGGAATGCTTCTGGACACCCTGAAAAAGTATTCGTTAACACCAACCAATATCGATAACCTCCTGTTCTTGGTAATTCAAAAAATTTATTTGCCAATGCTGTTCTGGATAACTTCCTCCCCAGTTGTACCAATTTGATTTCTATTTTCAATTTTGGGATTATTCTTGAGACAGAGCTGACATTGTCACTAATTGAGCTATGTTATATAGATTCCTTCCTACAATTTATCTAAGTATTTATACAAAGAGTTGCTACTCCAATGAGTTTTATTATGTTCCTTCTGAACTAGCTTCCAGAGTTGGTTATAGGGGATTACAATTCACCCATCAGGTATCTGAACCCAACCTTCTTTATTTTCCTCTCCTTTGAGATCTCCAATCAATTTTCTATCCTCCTTTGAATACCTAGGTTTAGATTTCTCAATTGTTAGTTGGCTGTCAGGGATTAAGGGAATGAATTTAGATTGTTCAGCTGCTTGTTTGGCTTCAAAATCAGCCAAATTATTTCCAGTTTCCTGATGAGAGTCACCTTGCTGATGCCCTCTACTGTACATAATAGCTACTTCCTCAGGTAGCTGAACAGCTTCCAGTAGTCATAGAATTTCTGTAGCATGTTTAATCTGTTTCCTTTGTGTGCTCAGAAGTCCTCGTTCTTTCCAGATGGCACCATGTGCATGGACCACACCAAATGCGTATTTAGAATCAGTCCAAATATTTATCCTTTTTTCTTTAGCCAATTCCAGGGCTCTTGTTCATCATGTTCCAAAGGTTTCTTTCAAGTCTGGTCAGCTTGAATATGCAGTTTCTATAGTGTGTTAATAGTTCTGTTGATTGTTCCTGCAAATGGATGCTGGATTCACAACATTAGTGATCACAATTTCTATATCATCATGTTCCACAAGGGTGGCCTGGCATTTAAAAAAACATGAAGGAGATAACCAGTGGGCTTCTTTTTGTTCCAGGACTGCTGATACAACATGGGACACTAGTACAGTAATCTTTTGTCCCAAGGTAAATTTGCAAGCCTCTTCAATATTCACGACAACTGCTGCCACAGCCCTTAGGCATCTGGGCCACCTTTGCTCGCTTCATCCAGCTGTTTCAAAAAATACACCACTGCCCTCTTATAGGGTCCTAGTTTCTGAGTAAGGACCACCAAAGTTACTCCCTGTTCTTCATAGGAATATAGCCAAAAGGATTTAGTCACATCCAGAAGTCACAGAGCTGCAGTTCTCATTAGCTCTGTTTTTAAATTTCTAAAGCCCTCTTCTGCTAAATCAGTCCATTCCAAAGAGAAAGGCGTTTCTTTTAACAGTTTATATAGTGGTCTACCAGAACACCATAATCATGCATCCAAAGTCTGCATCATCCAGTCATTCCCAGGAACGTCCGGAACTCCTTGACGGTCGACGGTCGTGGAGTTTGACAAATGGCTTCTTTTCGAGCAGTTCCAAATTCTCTCTGTCCTCCTGTTATTTCATATCCTAGGTAGGAAACTCAGGTTTGGATTAGTTGGGCCTTTTGTCTGGTTACCCAATAACCATTCAGTCCCAGAAAACTCAGTAATCCCACCATTCACTGGACACATTCTTCCTTTGTTTCTGTGGCAATTAATAGGTCATCCACATATTGTAACAGAGTCCCCGTCTGAGTGGGTGGTTTCCATGATTCTAGTTCCAGTGCTAACTGATTTAGAAAAATCGTTGGACTGTTTTTAAACCCTTGAGGTAATACTGTCCAAGATAATTGGGTTTTCCTTCCTGTGTCAGGATGTTCCCGTTCAAAAGCAAATAAATTCTGGCTTTCTTTGGCCAATGGTAAGCAAAAGAAAGCATCCTTTAAATCCAGGACAGCAAACCATTTCTGATTATTATTCAATTTAGTCAGTAAGGTATACGGATTAGGTCTTACTGGAGGAATATCCTCTACAAATTTGTTGATTGCTCTGAGATCTTGAACCAATCTACAACTTTACTTCTTTACTGGCAAGATAGGAGTATTATATTCCAATTCACATTCAATTAATAATTTATATTTTAAAATTTATCAATGATTTTTAATTCACTTTCCCTGCAATTTTAGGGGGATATTGTTTTACTCTAATTGGGCAGGCCCCTTCTTTTTATTTCTACTTTAACAGGCAAAGCATTTTTTGCCTTACCTGGAAGTTCAGAGGCCCATACTCCCAGATATACTTGAGTAATATTTTCTTCTGTTTCAGGGAGGTCCTCCTGTTTGCTTTTCTGTTGAATTAAAGATAAACTCAAAACTTCAATTAATTGATCATTTTTAATTCTTAAATCTGTTTTGCCGTCTTTAAATGTTACTTTGCATCCTAATAAAGATTTTAGAGAATTTGGCATGCATAAAAATTTATGCATTCCCATTTGTTTTCTCAAATTGTACTTTAACAGTTTCAGAAAGGGTGCTTTTTTTTTTTTTCTTGGTAGCCAGTAGCTCTCACATCTGTAACAAATTCTTTTCTCTCTGATGTAATGCCAAATAAGTTGCTCCTGTATCCACTGAAATTCCACTTTATTTCCTCTAGTCCCTAGTTTTAATTTAACCAGTGGATCTGCTAGGGTAGATTCCCCAGGTCCTCGTCAGTCCAGTTCCAGTTCAGTCACCGGAGCCACACCATGGCACTCCCCCCAGGGCAGTCTTGCTTCCAACATCCAAACTCCCCACAGCACACACGGATCCGGTCCCATAGGAAAAGAACCCACTCCCCTGTAAGCGGCGAGGAGAAGCAAGACACGCCAACCCAATATGGGTGATAAGCAAGTTTCTACTTTATTTGTGGTGCAGTTCGCTTATATAGGTGTGGTGTTTAGCCATGCCTCCTAGTCACAACAGTATCGGTTAGTTCTACACAGCTTCCTTCACATTCTTCTCCCACATCCGGTGTCCGGTTACCTGTGAGGCCTACACCTTGCTTTGCTCGCACAAGGCCTCTAAGGATCCATGGCCTTGCTCTTGGAGCCATTCTGCAACACTCCCCCACCCACATCCCTCCACCTCTGCCTCCCCAGCACTCATCCCACGCTCAAACACAGGATCTGCTTGAGCTCCCCTCCTTTCCCCCTTGGTTTTAATTAATATCTTTCCCCAGTATCAGAATCTGAACAACATCTCTCCATCTTAGCTTTCAGTTTTTCCCTGTCCTTTTCCAAAGCCAAAATTAAGAGATCTGGCAGAGCTATATTAATTTTGCATTTCGTCTGTCACTTGGGGTGGTTTCTTGAAGTGAAAAAAATATCTGCATACATTACTTCATCCCATTTTCCTTGCCACCTCAAAACCAAAGTTAATTGTAACAATGTATCATAATTTGTCGTGGTTTAAACCCAGTCAGGTAACTTGTTCACTCACTCCCAGTGAGTGGTGCCGAGCTGACAACAATCAAGGTCCGTGTCCGTCTCCCCCCTCCACCCCCGCACCGGGGCTCTCCCCTTCCCTGCTCCCGGAGGAACGGGGAGGAGGATCGAGAGAGTGCAACTCCTACGGGTTGAGACAAGAACAGTCCAGCAACAAATCACCACCGCTACTATCAGTTAAAACAATGATAAGGGAAAATAACAAGAGAAGAGAATACGATACCACCGGCCAAGAAACGAGTTCCACCCGGAAGCCCCTGTCCTTCCGGGTAACTCCCAGTTACCCCCCATCCCGGGCATGACGTGCTGTGGTATGGAATACCTCCCCGGCTAGCCCGGGTCAGGCACCCCGTCTCTGCTTCCTCACAGCTTCCCCTCCTCCCTGGCAGAGCATGAGCCTCACAGAGTCCTTGGTCAGGGTAAACATCACTTAGCAACAACCGAAAACATCGGCTTCACCAACACTGTTCTCAAACTAGAAGTCAAAACACAGCACTGCACCAGTTAACACAAAGGAAAAAACATGACTGCTACTGCTGAACCCAGGACATAATTCAAAGTTCCATTTTTAGGCCATTTTTCCTGATCTTCCGAAGTATACAAAGGGGCCACCATTAGTTACAATATTTTGTCAACGTTTTCTCATTTACCAAGCCCCCCGGAAACCCTCCCAGTTCTTTCCCATGTGCCAAAATGTACCCTAAAGGACTCTTTTTCAAGATCTCTCCGCTCTGTTGATTTCCCATTATCAATCTCACATTCACACACGTACAGGGGATCCCACAGACATACTCCACACAGTTACAACACTTGAGACAGAGACTAAAACTATATCAAACTAACAACCTGTCACCAGTAACAAAATCACAAGACCAAAATCTTACAGCACTTGAAACAGAGACAACAATTAATAATGCATTTATAAGTCTGTCACCAATACCAAAATCACAAGACCAAAATCATAACTATAACAAGCCACAACATAAGTCAAATACCAGTAAAATCCAAAACCTTTTCTACAAGACACCCGCTGTGTCTTTTAGTACCCAAACCACAAGATGCCCTTTGCTTCTTGTGATTGCATACTGGTAAAAAGCAAGACCTTTTCTACAAGACACCCACTGTGTCTTGCAGGATCCAAACCACAAGATGCCCTCTGCTTCTTGTGTGTGTATACTAAACGGACGCTAGCAGCTGGGTATATGCCTTTACCCACGAGATTTCCTATCATCTTGATTTACAGAAGGTTTCCAAACCATGCGTACGCTTACCAAACCACTTTACCAAACCGAGATGCCCCCTGCATCTTACAGATTATAGAAAAGAAAAGAATGAGATGGTCCTTGTTAGCTCCTGCAGGGATCTGAATGAGTCGAGAGGTCCCTCCGGGAAAAACTCCTGAGGGCCCTAGGGGGCCCTCTCCTCAGCGGGTCCTGCAGCCGAGCAGAGAGGGTCCCATCTGGGGTGCCAAATTGATTCCGAGGAAACTCCAGGAACAAACTCGCCAACAGAGTTTCAAGTTGACAAGCAGGTATTCTTTATTGCGGCGCTGGGAGACACGGGGGATAGCTCCTCCTAACGTGCGTCCCCGAATTGCTACACAGGCCATCCTTATATATGAGGCTACACATGAATTACATCATTTTCCAGAAAGTTCCCACATGCATACAAAAAATGTGATGGTGGTCTTTAAGGGTCGTTTACTTCTCCCAACAATCTTCACAACTTCTGGAAGTCTTTGAAGCACCAGCTTAACTAACATTACAGACATAGCAATCATCCTGTCCTTCTACTTATCAGTTAGTTTAAATGTGCCCATCCTGGACATCCACTAGTTCCAGATACTCCCCATCCCCAGGTCTGGTTTTTCTATTCTGCTTTTCATACGCTTTTTGTACTAAGGTCCTAAGGACCTGAAACTATGTCAACTACCTTCAAGCACTGCAGTTATTTTCCATTACAAAGCCATCAAATTTAACGTTACTCAGAACTGACTACATTGTGCTTTTGTGCCTCCTTGTTTCAATAGGTAGTTAGGAAGAGCCTCACCCTTGCAGGCCCTTGTCCTCATGGGGGACTTCAACCACCCTGATGTCTTTTGGAACGATGGTACAGCCCGGCACAAGCAATCCAGGAGGTTCCTCAATTGTTTGGAAGACAACTTCCTTCTGCAAGTAATAGACAAGGAGAGGTGCCATGCTTGACCTCGTGGTCACTAACAGGGAAGGGCTGGTTGGAAATGTGATGCTCTAGGGCAGCCTTGGTTGCATCGATCATGAAATGGTTGAGTTCTAGATCCTCAGGACAGTGAGAAGAGCGTGCAGCAAGCTCATTGCCCTGGACTTCAAGAGAGCAGACTTTGCCCTCTTCAGGAACCTGCTTAGTAAGGTTCCATGGGATAAAGCCCTAGAGGGCAGGGGGGCCCAAGACTATTGGTTGATATTCAAGGATCTGCTACTACAAGCTAGAAGGAAGTGGAGCAGGAGGGCCAGGAGACATCCTTGGATGGAAAAGGAGCTGATGAGGAAATTTCGAGGGGAAAAAAGAGGCTTATAAAAGGTGGAAGCAAGGACAGGCAGCCTGGGAAGAATACAGGGATGTTGTCCCGGAAACTAGGGACCAGGTTAGGAAAACTAAGGGCCAGTTAGAATTAAACTTGGCTAGGGATGTGAAAGATAACAGGAAGGGATTCTGTAGTTACATTGCAAGTAAAAGACAGACTAGGAACAACGTGGGCCCCCTCCAGAACCTAGCAGGAGGCCTGGCTGCCTTGGATTTGGAGAAGGCTGAGGTCCTTAATGACTTCTTTGCCTCAGTCTTCACTGGCAAATGCTCTCACCACACCACCCAAGTCTTGGAAGGCAGATACAGGGACTGAGAGAATGAAGACCTTGGGCCCACTGTAGAATAGGATCTGGTTTGAGACCATCTTAAGAACCTGAACGTGCACAAGTCCATGGGACCTGATGAAATCCATCTGCAGGTCCTGAAGGAGCTGGCAAATGAAGTTGCTAAGCCACTGTCCCTCACATTTGAAAAATCATGGCAGTCGGGTGAACTTCCCGACAACTGGAAAAAGGGAAATATAACCTCCATTTTCAAGAAAGGGAAAATGGATGACCCACGGTTAATGAGAAAATGAGCATGAGCAGGCAGTGTGTGCTCACATCCCAGGAAGCCAACCGTTTCCTGGGCAGCATCAAATGGAGCATGACCAGCAGGTTGAAGGAGGTGATCCTGCTCCTCTACTCTGCTCTTGTGAGAACTCACCTGGAGTATTGTGTGCAGCTCTGGTGTCCTCAACGTAAAAAGGACATGGAACTGTTGGAACAAGTGCAGAGGATTGCTACTAGAATGATCAGGTGACTGGAGCATCTCCCATATGAAGCCAGGCTGAGAGAGTTTCTCATCAACCAACACCCTTAAGTCCTTCTCCGCATGGCTGCTCTCAGTCTCTTTTCTGCCCAACCTGTAGCTGTGCCTGGGATTTCTCCAACTCAGGTGTAGGACCTTGCACTTGGCATGGTTAAACTTCATAGGGTTGGCATCAGCCCACCTCACATGTGTGTCAAGGCCCCTCTGGATGGCATTCCTTCCCTCCAGTGTATCAACTGAACCACACAGCTTGGTGTCATCGGCAAACTTGCTGAGTTCACACTCAATCCCACTGTCCAT